CAGCAGAACAAACGCATTGGAGGTGTATATACAGCCACGGCTGTTGGGTATGAAGCAGGAACCTCACCCTACAGACAAGGAACATTCATAGTTTAGTTTCCAAAGCTTTGAACAACGCATTTCCAGGCAGCAAGGCTACGGCACCTTCCCGCCTGGCCGCATCGACACGAGAACAGAGCCCCAGCACAAAGCACTTGTGCTCCTCTGACCTCCCCAAAGTCACAGTGAGATTCACGTGTAGGCATCTAAAGCAGCGAGACCCACTTCCTCAGGACACGCTACCGTGACCCAAGCACCACCCCCATGCCTACTGTGCCTAAAGTGCTGGCAAGAACACGTCTGAGGCAGAAAGAATTCTCTCCTTGTCCCCTATCCCAGGCCATCAATTTAAAAGCACTTCTCTAAGGATCCAAACAATGTACCCATCCCTCTCACCCACCTTCTACGTCAGACAGCTGACAAGGTTTGGGTCTTCATGAGCTTCAGACCAGGAGATTACAGCAAGTTCCTTGGCTGAGCTCTGATTCCATCTTCAGGGGCTCATGCAGCTGCCTGGTGCCTCTGATTAGGAGGCTTTCAAATCCACCGTGTTTTTCACCTCTAGTGATTTTTACTTCGCAACACAGTAAAGAAAATTCAGCTATAAATAACTCCAAGCTGCATTTGCAGGAATGGGTTTTACAGCAGCCATTAATTCCAGCAGCATGTTCTCTGGAGTTTTCTTCCTCTAACAGGCAGGGCTCTCCTCCCATCTAGGGATTCTGTCAGTGCTTGTGCCAACTGCTCCCACTCAGAGTTTCCTAAGGGCCATTTTGACAGCACTGCTAGAAACACTGAGCTCGGTGTCCAAGGACCTGCCCTACCTGTGCTTTAGCCAATGGATATTTAAAAACCCTGTTAATTTAAAACAGCCTGTCTCAAAGCTAGTTGAGGCACTGCTCGAGATTGGGAATGGAGAGGGAGAAGGGAGGGGCTGTCAGAATCAAGTTTCAGTGATTGAAACCTAGTTTCTGTGAGACTGTAGCTGCAGGGGTCAGCTCTTCTGCCCCCCTTAGCTCACAACACTGATGTCCAGCAAAACCGACTTCCCCTTTTTGGAGACAATTGCACTTAGCCACTTAATACAGGGAACAAAAAAACCAGGCATTACACCCAGTACATGCATCATCACAGCCCAGTGGAGCCTTCTTCCCTTTTGCTGTCTGTTTCCATTTGGATATCCTATAGCTCTATTATTTACATCTTGTAGATCATTGTAATCAATAAAACAGAGTATTAGACAACTATAATAATACTGCCTGCACGAGGGGACGTGAGAGGCATCTCTCCTTGCCCCTGGATTCAGTCACTGCACCTGACTACTGATTGTGAAGCCACTGCTGCACTCCAGCTGCTGTCCTCCACCAACACTGACTCAGCTCCTCCCTATGCACCTCCTCTTTTCCTCATGCTGTGGAATGCAACGAAGGCAGAAAAATAACCAGTGTAACCATGTGCATACAAAACTCGGCCCTGGCTGCCCCAAACTGATACAACGGGGAGGGCAGCGAGCAGCATAAAAAAGAGACAGAAGGAGTGCAGGTAGGGCAGCGCCGGGCAGCACGGGGCGAGGGGTGGCTTACGCCGCCTGCTGGGAACGAAGCCATGGAGGGGGAGGAAGGGAGCCAAGTGCCATTTCAGTGTAGAAAACCAAAAATCAGCACTCCCTCACGGAGCCAGCGTTATTGCTCAACATGCTTAGCGGGTCCAGCCTGGCACTGAGGAGGTAAGAGTCCGAGGGAGAGCATGTGTAAGGGCTCTGCGCTGAGGAAGCTCATGGTGGCATCATCACCCCACCAGCCTGTAGGTATCTCTGGACAGCAGGACAGGAACAAACCAACTGAATCCCTTTCTGCTGACAGGTTTCCCCTCAAAATACTATAACTTCAAGTTTGACAGAGTGGAAGATAGAACCAGATTCACCCAGAGGTCAGGATAAAAGCAGCCGGCACTGCCTGCTAGTGGCTGCCACTCAGTTCACGCTTGGCATAAACGTTCCAGGACCCCTTCAACGTGGGGCAAAACATTCTGGACTAAAGCTACAAGCAGAGTGGTCAGGACATGTAAACAAAGCTGAACGTCACCAGTGGATAGCATGTGCGTCCCTCCCCACGGCACATTCCTTCCAGTCCTGTGGGATCCTTTCCTGGTCCTGGCACAGTCTCTGGCAGTGTCCTGAGGTCATAGATTCCCCCACTGCTCTACCGGGGGAAACTGATCCACTTCGCCAACCTCTGTGCTGGGCTGGTCTCCCAGTGTGAAGGTCAGTCTGTATCTCAGCCTCACCTTCTCCTGCAGGAAAGACAAAACCCAAGAGCAACGTGAGAACAGCCCCAGTTGCTCCTGAACAAAACATTTCAGCTCTGCAGAGAGCACAAGATTTCCGCAGCACACAGCAGGGGGAAGGAGGCCAAGGTTAAGTTCATGGAGTAGTTCAGCTGTTTAGGAAACCTGAGTTTTTCACCTTACAGTTTTTTATACCACAAAGGCTTTACTGCTTAGCATGGGACAGTGGGAGAAAAGCACCAATGACCTGTGGTAATAGTTTGCACATGTGGTCAGCAACCATCGCTCAGCCGCTCTCCAGTGAGCCTGAAAAATGCTGCTGGAATAGTTCAACATTTTCAAAATTAAATTCCTTATAACGTGGAGGAAGATAAAAATTGTTCCTGCTCTGCAAAATCCCCGGTAAAACAGTAAGCAGGAGGTGGAATGGATCCCCCTTCAATGAGGAGGGATGTACATCCCTCCATGTACGTCACAGTTTTTCAACCCACCCAACCCCTCTGACATTTATCCTTTTGGATTTCAAAGCTTTTGTCTAATACTTTAAGGACCCTTTTGCTGTAACTCTCAAGTAGTAACATCTATATTTGTCAAATAATTAGAAACTACTTCAGCATACAGCTTTGAGCTTTTTGGAGCAGGCTACTTAAATGAGTAACTACAGCAAGGAAACACAGCTCCTCAGATGCTCCCAGCACCATCAACAGAAAAGAAGCTGTTCACCACGTTGTACACCCTGACAACAACAGAACAGACCTGATCTGACATGCGTCAGTCGGTTCAGGGCTGTCAGGCTACAGCCTCAGCACAGCACAAGTATTTCTATAGTACCAGCTAATGTGACACCAACCCAACTATCACCAAAGCCAGGCGGTGCCAGTGCACGAGGGAGTCACACATGCTCCTGACACAGCTCCAACTGCTGCCCTTTAAAGCTGAGCCTTAGTCAACTGCTGCCCTTTTGATGGGAGAAAGGTACAGGACCTTCCTGCCTTTCCCTGCTGACAGAGTCTGCGGAGGAAGAGATGATGTATATCCCCCAGCCAAAACACCAGTGACCACCTCTGGAGGGCAAGTTAGGAACAAACAGCTGTATCTGCTCCAATGTTTGGTCCAAACCCCCTGCCCAAGAATTCAGCTTGCATCAAATTTGTCTGACAAGGACAGGAGCAATCCCGCTGCATGACAATCTGCCCCCTCTCACCTTTGCAGGGTTTGCCAGAAGCATGACTTGGGTGATGGCAGCAGGTGGCTGGATGGGATTGAATGGAGACAGCTCTGTGCCAGAGGGTGGTTGTAACTTCACTTTCATAGACTGCAGACAAAACAGAAAGTGGAACCTCAGGGGTTATCTCCTACCCTGGGGACACCGGAATATGCAGGCACAGGCTGGGGAGGTAACTGTGCTCATCCAAACTGGAGATCCACATGTGAGGGTGAGGAAACAAGAGCCGGCCCAGCTTGTACATGGCTGGAGCAGGCAGACTGACTAATCAGCACTGGCCAGGTGAACACCAAGAGCACCTTCCTATCCCAGTTATCTTCTGCCAGAGGCTTTAGTGCAAACTCCTGTACGATGCTGAAGCACAGCCAAGATTGGGCCAGTTTTCAAAACACAAAGCTGGCCATCCAAAATTATCTAGATGCGGTAAGACTAGACTGGAACATACTGTCAGATTTAGGATACCTGTTAGAAATTCTGATTCTAAGACCTCAAGGGTGGCTCTATCATTGTGCTGTCTGAGCCACCTCCATGAACAGACACAACTGGACCGATCTTAGATAGCAAGTAAAAATAGAACACTGACTACCTGCAGTTCTTGATTTACCCTGTTCAGAGCTCTCTGCCTGTGACAACAACCTTTGAGTTTTGGACGCAGGCAGAGCAGAGCCTGCAGAGCACAGGAAGGCAGAACCGGGCTGTCCCACATCCCCGGGTCACTGTCTGCACGGGTGCCTACCTTGGGCACGGCCGCCTGCAGCACGATGTTCCTGACGGGAAGCGGAGCCGTGTTCAGCATGGAGACCACCACGACCAGCACGTCCGCGCGCCCCGGCGGGCACTCCCTGGCGAAGTGCAGCAGGATCCGGAACCCGTTCTTGTCGTAGGCGGTGACCGGGAGGGCGCTGCCTGCGCGGGGAGACAGCGGGACAGAGCTGCAGATGGGTGCTGCAGGAGAGCCACAGCAGCATCAGGGGGTCCTCCCGATCAGCAAGGACAGCTCACCCGTTCCTTCTGCCTCACAAGCTCTGTCGAGAGGCTTTGCTTTTAACAAGTGGTCAGAGAAAGGTGAAAAAACTGAGATACTTACTGGGTTTAATGGATTCCAAGGGAACATGGACGTTGGCCAAGGAAATTTCAGGTGCTTTCATGGGACTGCCTTGCTGCTGGAATGACGCTGGCTGGAAGAGAGGACTTCCTGAGCCAGCAGTGCAGCTGCTTGGGAAAGGAACCGGAGGGGCTCCTGGGGCAGTGAGCGGCAGCCCTGCAGGTCCTACTAATGGGGCAGAGGTGACAGTGGTTGGCAAAGTAACCCCAGGGAACACTGAGGCTGTCGTCATGCCCTGGGTGGCAGTCCTGCAAGAGAGACAGAAAACCACAGGCAAGGGAGCTGAAAGCAAAGCTGGCACTCTCCACAAAGCCGGGTCGCTGCAGATCGCCAGGACGAAGCAGTGGCCCGGTGCCAGGCTGGAGCTGTGACTCAGTACGCTCTCAGTAAGGAGTGCTACGAGGAAAGTGCCGGTGGTAGGGCTAGGCACCACTTCTCCACGTCAAGAAGAAAGCAGAAACCCACCTTGGCAAAGGTGGGCAAGGCTAAGATGGGCAAAGGCCTCTGCACCTTAGCAGCCTGGGCAACTTCACACTGCACATTTGTATCAGGCAACAGCACAGCTCTTGTGCTCTGCCTCGTAGTGACTGCCTTCCCCTCCCAGGGCTCTCCTATTAGTCTGCAAACTTAAACCCTCTGAGAAAAAAAAAAATCTCAACCATGCATTTCTACCAAACCAGAGAGCTGAAAGCCTGCCTCTGAACCTGATGCTGCAGCAAGCTTGGCTTTCCAGCTGCAGAGACAAAGCAAAGTCCACAACTTTTGGTTACCCTTTGGCTTCTTCAAGGAGCTGTCCCAGTGCATCCATCTTATGTGGCATATTGCTCCCCACAGATGAGCTGAAGCACCCAGGAGCAGCTGGAATAGTCTTAGGAGGCCCTGCAGAGGCAGCTGGTCCAGCAGAGAATACAAATGGTGCTGAGCTGGGTGCTGGGATGCTAGGAGCAGTCTGAGAGGCTGTGAAAGCAGAGGGCAGCGTCACTGACGTTCCACACGTGGTCTGTGATGCTTGATGGAGAAGAGGGTTCCCTGCAGGGTTGCAAGCAACAGTCACCATCTTCGGATTAAAGAAATCCAGGCCCAGCTGGTCGTTCTGAAAGAGAGGACAGGTAGATGCTCCAACTCACTGCTACCCCCTGTGGTAGAGACGCACCGTGACAGAGGGAGAGAGATTTACCGCAGAAACAGGTGCTGGGTGGCAAGCAGCAAAGTCTGTGGCCTATGTCAGGACTACATCTGATCTGTAATTTAAGCAAAGGAAGTGCTAACATCATGGGGAAATCAAGTGCTAACAGATGGGAAACTGAGAAAGCCAGGTTCAGGGGTATCTACTCTGTTTAGAGACAGCTATCCTGGATTTTAGGGCTAAACCTGACTTCCCCTCAGGAACAGCCACTCCTTTGCTTGCGTGTGGGTTTGCCCAAGGTGACAGCATGTCCTGAGGCTTCCCACAATGACAACCCCTCCCTCCCCTTCCCCTGAGACCCTCTTCTGTACCTCAAACATGCTCCACTGGTTGTTTTCTGAGGTCTCCTTCACCGCTGCAGGAGCTGGGTCATTCAGGCCTGAAGAAATAACAAGTAGGTGACCAGAGGGGAAACGAGATAGGTGTCGTCCACTGCCAATTGCTTCAGCACCATCAGGCTAACTGATTCAGCTCTGCCAGAGCCCAAGAATCTGATGGAAGACTGAAATGGGCTACAAGTCTATGACTAGGAAAAGAGACTGACAGCACCAGTAGCTGACAGTGTCCCCCTGCATGCAGCTCTTCTAACCCTTCCTGATCTCCAGTGTCTTCTGCTCTTCATATCTGGGCTCCACAGGCAGGCACCTTGCAGGCTCCTGCACAGAACCCCTCAAGGCTCTTCAGCACAGCCATGGTCAGGGGTAAGATCTGCCCCCATGCAGCCTGCACGTCCAAACACCTACAGAGACCAGACTGCAGTGACACTCCCCTGGTATTTCACCAGCAGTCCACTCTGGGAAGATCAAAACTTTTAATAGTGACCCACTGACCAGGTCTTACATTCAGGACACCTCAAGGTAGTGTGCCCTGGACTTCTCAAAGGCATCTTACACTCCTTTGAGGCCTGCCACACACGCAGCCAGCCCTCACACTCAGCCTGGAGGAAGACAGCAGTCTTTGTTAGGCACGGATGGAGTAGCCCTTGTGTGGGCACCTCGGTGTCTCACCTAAGCAGAGAAGCTCCTCGTCCAGCAGGGAGAGGGAGCTGGCCCCTGGCCGGAGGCAGCGCTCCGCAGGGGCGCGAGGGCCTGGGGAGGGGGAGGCAGGATGGGGATCTCGGCCGCGGCCGCTGGCGCCAGGCTGGGGGGTGGCACTGGAGGTGGCGGGGTGCCGCTGATGTCCAACCCAGCAAGGTCAATGAGGGTGTTGAGGTGACTTGTGGAGTTAGTCCCTGCAGCGGAGAGGAGAACACTACTAGAAAAGAAGGCAAAGG